TTAGGAAAAGGCATTGTACCGTATTCGCGTAAGCTCGTACCACGTTTACGCAAAAATTTTTCAACTTCCGCCAAGGCCAGAGTTTTTACTTCATCATCGCTCAGTACCAATTCTGTAACACCAATATACAAAGTTTATAAATATAAACACAAAAGATTAAAAGAAAAAAAAAAGATTGTGACAGTAATTGATTGACTAACCTGGGTGCTGTAAAATCCTCCGACGATTGTATAATATATCATCCGATAGGTAAGGCCAACATGATTCCCACACGAACTCCGGTCGACCGAGAGTATCAGAAGACAACAAAGTAGCAAAAAGGTTTCTCAACGAATTGGCACTTGACCACTGGCTTGCCTCGATAATCCCTTCAATATACTCTTTGTCGTCCTCCACCATACCAAGAGAAAAACACACGTCACGATATGAATCGTGTTGTACTCCGTCCAACTTCATGTAGTCACGATGGCACGTTGCACCTCGAACAATGTTAATAAGACACCACAAATAATATATGTCACCAGCACCAGAGGGGACGTAGTACAAACGCGCGATACGATTACTTCCTTTTCTAGGCTCCCAACTGTTGGTTTCCGAGTGCCACGTAAATTTGGTGGGAGCCTCAACGTACGTCAGTTTCCTGGCTTCGGGATACTTTTTGTTAGCTTCCATCCAAGCTAAAAATTTGCTGCCAGTATCTTTATTTTTCTTAACCACTTCATCGATCAGAACTTCATCTGGATAGTAGCACGGATGCTCGTTCTCGAGGTGAAAATTCAAGCGCTCCACTGATGGGTGCTTGTATTGAATCTCATACTCCAACAACCGTCACGCAGCCTCACAAGATGAAACGTATCGACAATCATAGTACATCTTCACCTCGTCAACTGGCCTGCTAGAGGACTCATCTCCATTGGACGCATGGAAGGTGGCAGTAACGCGATCGTTGCCCTTGTTCACGTACTTGAACAAATATTTTATGGACCTCGACTGGTTGCACCACTCCATATTTATGTGCGCTCCATACTTCAGAAGCAATTTCCTGTTATGGGGCACAACGTATCTGTTATCCAGGGGAATGCCATTCTTTTCAATGGTCCTGCCATTATCACGTCGTCTGTATCGTGGATAGCCTTCTTCGTCAAGAGTCGTGGTTTCAGAGAACTTTTTTGGAAAATGTTTTGTGCAACAATCGTTCGCCATACACGGATATTTCGGGCGAACACTTTCGCAGGGGCCATGCATCATATGATCTCTAACAGCAGCATAGTAAAATGGATCGGTGGCCTCATCTGGTATTTCGGCATAAATTATATTATCTATGTCATCAGTAGTCTTTATCTTGAATTCCTTGGCAAGGAAAAACAAGATATGCATATGCGAAAGGCCACGTTTCTGGAATTCAATAGTGTAGATTGCTGCAGTAAATCCATAGTTTTGTCAAAATTAATAAATAGCAAAAAAGTATAATAAAATTTAGGAAGAAATCAGTTAAAAATTAGTTTGAAGATATATCTGCATTCACGTCTCCAAACATCTTGTTATGACGAACATCCCTCATCAACTGATCCAACATGGTCTTAAAAATCCGGCAAATAATATCAGGACGATCCTCTGGGTTGAGGTTCTTCTCAGCAAGAAAGCGACTAATTTCGGGCCATTTTGGATAACCGGTCCAACGACAAATGGTCATTGCACCCTGATAATTCTGAACCATATATCTAGCGCCACCCGTAAATGATGAAGGAAGTATGATACGTTTGCCTTGAGAACCAGGATCCGTGTCACCACACAGCACAACGTCGGAAAGTCTGCTGTACAATTTAGTTCTCAAGTTCTTCTGATTAAAACGTATGTATCTGAGTCGAGCTCCATCCACCATTGTATACGCGTCCACAACAAACTGCGGATACAACCTCCAAGCAGAAAGAATTGACAACATTTTGGAGTCCCGATCGTGTATTCGATATTTAAAGAACTCCAACGGGCTGATAAATTTCCTCGACCATCCTCGCCATATGGAAAAAGAATAGGATAATTGAGTGCCAAGTAAGAAGCGTTTAACTCGTTTATCCGCTATAGACGTCCGCTCCGATTTTCTACTATAATATCCCTGTTGCCCATGGCATCATCGAAATCCCCAACAACTAAGGCGGCAACTTCAGAAGTGGTTGGTAAATTATAACGCCGACCATCCTTGTTCCTTCTACCGATAAGACGCATCTTAACTTCAATTTGCTGGTGCTGGTTCACCGTCTACCGGGCCATCCTGAACGACTTGACCAAAACATTATAATGATCGAGCATCTCTTTTAAACCGTGAACTACATCCTCATCTAGATTATTTCGTTCAGAACCTCTCCTGAAATAATCATAATTTTGTTTTGAATTAGTAAAGATGATGTAAACCGCAATGGAAAAAAA